ACTTCGTCAGTTGGGATGATTATTCAATGATGACATTCCCAATAAATGTTCCAAACCACCAACCAGTTATCTATACTACTGGTTCCTACTGGTTTGATACCCTCTGGTAAACTAACAAAACTATGGAAAATCACCATTTTTAATGGGTAATTCCACTATAAATGGTCATTTTCAATAGCTACGTTAAATTACCAGAGGTAAGTGGTTGGTTCCTACTGGTTGGTTCCAACTGGTTCTTCCGTCGCGACGGATCCGCCGAGTTGCACATTGTAGTACAATCCATCGCGCACTTCGATGCCGGCTGGAGGATCCTACAAAGGCTGTGCCACTCACATGCGCATTGGAGCCTGCAAGTTGTCAAACATATGCACAGTTTATATAATATAATATAATATAATATAATATAGTATAATATAATATAATATAGTATAATATAATATAATATAGTATAGTATAATATAATATAATATAATATAATATAAATATAAATATAAATATAAATATAAAATAATATAATATAATATAATATAATATATATATATATGGAGTAAGTAACGACCTTCCAGTGTTTTACTCCTCAGATCCTATTTCAAATCAAATGCCTTGCAAGGTCCTTGTAGAAGCGGTGGTTTGTTCAAACGCTTGTAGGTTTCATGACAAATTGCGAGCTTCTGATTCTGGTTGAATTCCTCATCGAACAGAATCCAAGCTCAGCGCTCTGTAGCCCAGCAGAAGGGCGAAGATGTAGTCAATACCTCAGTTGCATGGAAATAATATCTTCCTTCGCCTACAGATCTGCACAAATCATCAAAGCCAGCATGGCACAGGCCGTAAAAATATGCTAAAAACAGAGGCCATAGCCCTCGTGCTTGGCAGTGGTGTACACACTGAGATCCGGCCTGTCATGAGCTGTGCGTCCAACAACCATGGAGAGATATGCAGCTGCACAAAGTCTCAACTGTATTTAACATAAATTTATATATATATATATTATATATAAATGTCACGTCTTCTAAGGCCACTTAGTACTGCTGGGTTCGCCCATGTCCGTCCCGATTCCATGTCAGCTGCACGGATTTGCTCCGCCATTTGCGTAGCGTGCTGCCTCGTAAAGCTTGACACGATCCTTCTGGTATCTTCGGGACATTTTGACACGCATGACATGACAGGCCTGCAGATTGAATGTGTGTTTTGACTCTTGACGTACTCTGATTTGGCCTTACGCAAAATCTAAAGAAGTTGAGGAAGTGCGACAGATTTTTCCCCTACCAATGTGGTGTTGACAGAGATTCAGGTATTGGCGCTGAGAAGTAAAAGATCCTTGCACACTTCGCATTCTGATTAGAGGAACGTGCCTCTTCGTTCGGATATGGCGATGGAAAGGCATCAACAAGAATGCCAGGGCGGGTGAACATCTCGCCTGATCCATGTACAGCTAGACTGTCCAATGAAAGCAGGAAGAACAACCGAGTCTCATGTGAGACTGTGAGATGTCAAGGATTGACAACAATCGGTTCTTACATGTTCTTACATTTGCACAAAGCTGCGAAGTAGGTTTTGGTGTCTGCTTCCGCAACACTTTGCATTCTGTCCATTTAGCAATGGCCGTGAGACCTTTGGGTACCTCGAGTGACCTACCTGAACTGTCCCTGCATCTTGGCTCTCCTTCATCATTTGGTCCATCCACAACGTCGTAGCTGGCGGCTATCTCCTCTCACGGACGAAATGCACAGCTGCGGCAGTCGCTTGTCCCGTCTTTCATGAGAGTTCATGCCAGCGCTGAGGGAGAACTTATAAGCTTGACACAGAATGTCTGGTCAAATCCGTTTGAAAACACAGAACAGCGAAATGGTGAAACAAATAGGTTTAACTTTGTATGCCAGGTCTTTTCATGCGCCGCGCATTCGTATCATGGAATCAACGATGGTGCTACTCGCGGTTTCCTTCATACGCTTCTCGGGAAGCACGAAATTCGACAGGTGTCTGAAGTGGAGCCTCAGTACAGGGAATGAAAATGACAATAGAATCCGGCGCATGAGCCATATTATCCAGGCCGGCATCTTGAGATGTGCATTATACGTCCTACATACGTGCTATTATTCCCAGTGACAGCACCAAGCCAACATATACAATCTTAAAAGTCAAACAGGCCAGGGAAACCAGCAAAGCAAACGTAAACAAACCTACCTTCTGTTTCTGAGCTTGTGACTGCTTCATGGAATGGCAAGTTGCACAAACCTTCAAGGCCATGTGCATTGTTCTAATGTTGATTGCCAGAGAAGACCCTTCAAGAAAATCTACAAGGTCGGCCCGGCTTCAACATACATCAAATGATATCACATGTATCTCATACTCATACTATACATCTTCTTCCCTGGATGTGAATTTGTTTGCTGCAAACAAGATGAAACTTGGCATCTTGAAATAATGACAGGGGATTCCAAAAGTGTACAGCCACACCTGACGGTACACTTCATACCCACGACCTCAGAAATGCTTGGAAAACTTCGTCTGTGTAAAGCGATCTGGATGTGCAAACGAGTTGCCCCTTCCAGTGCCATTTTTTGCAGAGCAAGATATTGCGGCAATGAAAGGCTGTGCCGCAGTTCCAGCTATCCAATCCATCTAAGCTTGCACAGTGGATTGAATGTCTACATGTCCTGAGCATCCGATCGGACACTTGGAATCTCGTGGGCATGGAAGATGGACTTTACCCAGAAGGGATATCGCCTCATGCTCACAAAGCAACATGAATACACAGAACAAGACTCTTGGATGAATGCAAGAAAACCGTAAAAAAAAACATAAAGACATGGACCCAACTGACATTGGACTGTGGCGAGACTTTCTGAGTGCTGCACGGTGCGTGTGGCGGATCCTTATCATCGCCTCGGAGTACCGACATCCTAAACTCATGAGTTGCACCTCGCCTTCTCCAGAATTGGGACAAAAAGTTCCCAGACCAGCCAAATTTACGGAGCTGTGAAAAGGCAAAAGTCTCACGATTACACAGGACTCGTTTCTTGGCCTTTCCAGCACCCAGCTGAGTTCTCGGGCAGCGAGCTGGAGCAGAGGTGAAATTCACCAACGCAGCAGCTCCGCCCAAAGCAGTGGCACCTGCACTCTGCTGGGAAGATTGCGCCCTAGGCCCCACCAAATCGCCAAACGACTGTCCAATGCAGTTGCGTATCATCAACAGAGCTTCAATGAGCGTCTGGCCGTTCAAAGAAATGGCAGGTTCTTAAGAACAAACGAGGCCAGCAGGAAACATTCATCAGGCACCTGTGATAGAGCGCGAAAAAACGCGCTTCGCCACAAATGCCATGGCCTGATGATGGATTGTGGCGAACAGTCGCTGGACATTCTGAAATTTGTCTCAAGCACGCCATGCCCATGTGCAGGTGCTACAGCTACTGTTGAATGTACTCCGAGATGGCCTTTAGGGGTCGTTTTAACTACTCTTCCCGCACTTTGGAACACGCTTCTTGGGGAACTCTCAAATACATGCTCAAGTTAACGCGTCGAGAGTTTGGAATGCAGAAGGGTCACTTTTAGAGATTTCTCCTGCTTATTGGGAACACTCACACAACGTTTAGGCTTGGTGGATGGTCTTGGAACTGCTTTTTGCACACAAACAAGACCCCTGGTGTCAGCTTTCAATTACTTGAGAAGAAGCTATGCTCTCCCGTCCATCAGTGTATCTGTATGTGTGATACCAGTACTTTTTGAGTCAACACGAGCCACCATGAATTTGACCTCGCACCCAACATGACCCAATGCAAGATTACCCTCTGGAAAATAACCGTGGCAATAGAAGCCCATCATTGGTACGAATTTTTCCCATCAAAACTGAGGATTTCGAATCGTTGGGTTAGTTTGCCAGAGGAAACCAAAGACTGCTCCTAAATGTGTTGTTGCTCAATTCATGCCGCTCAGTCAACCTACGGAAGCACTTAGGAATTTGGAAATGTGTAAAAAAAGAATGCCTTCAAGATCCTCCAAGATTCTTACATGAAAGAAAGGCTTCTGTGAAAAGTCATGTTCGGTAGCATCATCCATAGCATCAGCATGCTCATTACCATCCCAAAATCGGCCTCGCAGCTATTGTCCCACCGTCGGGGTCACTTGAGCCACACAAGCCTTAACGATTCACCGTGGCAAAAAAATGGTGGGTGGCAGAATTGTGGTGACCGAACTGTCAAAGATGTCAGGATTCTTAAGGTCACCGTGAGTTTGTGGCCGCAACTCAATATCTTACATTCTGGCGCAGAAATCATAGAAATTGGCCATCCTATGATGGCTACAGTCTGAACATGGACATGAGGTAATGCCACAAGATGGGCTTCAGATGGCTTCAATTCTTTGAGAAATTCGGCCTTCTGCAGAATTTGTCAGCACAGTACAAGTAGCTTTGGTTGAATATGAAATGCTGCAAGTAGTGGATTGCGCTTTTTTATGTGACCGTTTGACAAGCGAGTCAACGGCTTTGTACTGGATGGCAGATTCTTTGACCTGCTGAGCGGTCACTTTGAGGTTTCCGGTACATAAAAATGCTTACAGTAAGCCACAATAGATGCTGATCCTGTCAGGGACAATATAAAACAACAATAAAACAATCAAAACAATAGTAACAATGATAATAATAATAATAACAATAATAATAATAGTAGTAGCACTATGTAGCACTATATACTATCAATAACAATGATGATAATAACAATGATAGGAATGTTTTTTTTATCTGTACATGGCAACAATCTGCAAAACGTTGTGCCGGGCTGACATTGACCCACTCACCACCGCTGCAGCTGCGTGCGGTTCAAGGTGTTCAAGCCAGTGGAGTTTCTCCAGACCTAAGTCCCAGGTGCTCAAATTCGATTCAGAATTCATGCAGATTATGTAGATCGTTGTGGTGGGGTCTTGGAGTGTACGACATAGTGACAGAGGTTTTGCACCAGGAACGCTTTGAGGTCGGTGCTGACCCATCCTTCCTACTTTTGTTACTTTCCTTCGCGACGGACTTTGCCTAATACCTCAGGCAAGAGGAGCGCTAGCGACAGCCAATTCTGTGTCAAATGAGAGTCCAGTGCGATCAAGGTCTGGAAAGTGCTCAAATCTCACAAGTTGGAATCCCAGCATGTTCCCGCTACAGCTTGGAAACCGCAATGTCGCTGGCACAGTCAGTTCATTAAATTTGGGACTCTTGCAATCAGAAGCAGTGAGTTAATTCAGGAGTACATGACAAACCCTGCAAGTAGTATCAACCAGCCCAAGACATCACTGAGCTCCAAGCGCGAAGAATTTCAACGCAGGTGTCCAGGGCCAAATTCATCCCTGCCAAGTTTTTTTGAACTGCACAAGTAGGAAGTACAGTAGTGAACTTGTCAAATTCTCTGGAAAACAAACAGCGCGTGGCAATGACGCGCCCTCGGTGTTCCAAGCCTGGGCATATACGGCTTCCAGCCTTTCCGACATTTGCAAAGACCATGCTCTTCTCCTGGGGCGAAGAACGCGCCCCAAACAGACTATTTAAGAAACTGACGTGGTAAACCGGAACAATAAGATATACCACTATAATATGTATACTAAACCACTCTTGGATATGGATGTGGAGTTTTTTATGCCCTTAGCACATTAGTCTGCACCAGCACTCTGGGCACGCTTTGCGGAGCTGAAGATGCTGAAGCACTGTGGCGACTGTGGCACCGCACTCGCAAATGTGGCCTTGTAAGATCAAATTTGAAGGCATCAACGCCCCAGGTCTCCTTGCAGTGGCTGATTCTGTCCCCAGGGATTCTCTGACCATCCATTTGTGGCCCGGTTGCTGCCCCAATGTTGATCCACACTTAACATATTTAATATATCATCCGATACATGAACTCCATATAATCATGCTGCTACATGCTGCTACATGTACATATTGCACAGATTGATGTATTATTCATCTACTTATCATTGATGGAATATACATAGTATACATATCTACATGTAAGTTATGTATATCATATGATCAACAGATTATCTCAATCTATCCCGATATAAATTCACCTCATATCCAGTTCCGTTTGGGACTCACCGGCACTGACGACTGGGAACCTCACCTTCTCAGTCATGGCCAGATTCCTGGGCAAGACAAAAGATTTTATTATCTGTTCCCAATAGACGTTTAGTAAAGGACATGATTGGATTATATTGGATTTATCATGATGACTATTGGATAATCTGTTCCCAAAAATGTTGTACCATGTTGTACCCAATGATTTATTGGATTTTCCTGGGTAAACCTGGAACCATCTGGAACCGATCCCAGACATCCAAGATATGCTGGAAAATAATCCAAGATTCAGTTGGCCAAGCTCGCCAGGCGAAGTGTCACTTAATCATGTCATATCATTTTATATATTATATATTATATTATATGGGAATGTTTCTACGTAATGCTATGATTTGAACAGTGTTGGAATCATGGTGGATTTGGGTCACGGTCGTGGGCCCAACTTTTGGACAGATCCGTTTTTCACTCTGCACAGCGGTGAGAGACGGTGAGTGTCCAGTGACGCTCAGTGAATGATTTGTTCATAGGTCACAGGTAGACGGTGATGGATGGTTTTCTGATTTTTCCAACTGTGTTCAACAAATCATTCGGACAGTTGTGGATCAGGAGTTTGGACTTGACATGACTTGACAAAGACTCGGAACAAATTGATAGCCAACGCTCAAGTGGACCGTTTCAAGGCACAGATGTGTTTTCAGACCCAGCTACCATTAACCGCCATTATAATCACTATTAATCACTATTCATGGCTTATAATCATCATTAACCACCAGTAACCACCATTTAACCACCATTTAACCACCATTTAACCACCATTTAACCACCATTAACCACCATTAACCACCAGTAATGGTACAAACTGGTTCAAAGTTCTAAGGAATCCAATCAGATCCCAAATGCCCTTTCGGATCACCGAGGTGCGTGGGCACCAGAATCTTTGTTCCTGCAGGGAAGTCCACAGTTCGACCTGGCCGTTAAAACCACTTTGGTGATTTCCCAGCACCCCAGCAGTTCCCTATCCTTCTGACTGCAGTTGACTCCAGCCTTAAAAATCTGCTCAATACATCTCAATATCAACTGATTTGTCTTATTATTTCTTATTTTGTTGGAAGAATGGCTGTGCATGTTGTGTGTCTGGTAAAGTATTCAGAGCATCTTCTGATCAAGAAAAGGACACACACACACACTTATATAATAAGACAATTGCATACAATTCTATGATATTATTGTTCATATCAGGTGATACTTACCCAGCACAACAGAACTTCTGAGAGCCCGGAACCTTGCAACACAGCTGAGAAGGGTTCCTGGGTGTATCTCGCTCGGGCTATCCAAAAAAATTACTTTACTTCGTGTGATCCCCACCATGACATTTATACATTTTCTTACTGGCAAATCTTCTGGCATTCTATCTGACATATCTTCTGACATTCTATTTGGCATTCTATCTGGCATATCTTCTGGCATATCTTCTGGCATTCTATCTGGCAAATCTTCTGGCATTCTATCTGGCATATCTTCTGGCATTCTATCTGACATATCTTCTGGCATTCAATCTGGCATTCTATCTGGCATATCTTCTGGCATATATTCTGACATATCTTCTGGCATTCTATCTGACATATCTTCTGGCATATATTCTGACATATCTTCTGGCATATCTTCTGGCATATCTTCTGGCATATCTATCTGGCATATCTTCTGGCATATTTTCTGGCATTCTATCTGGCAAAATCTATCTGGCATTCTATCTGGCATATCTTCTGGCATATTATCTGGCATTCTATCTGGCATATCTTCTGGCATATATTCTGACATATCTTCTGGCATTCTGGCATTGGCTATCTGGCATATCTTCTGGCATATCTTCTGACATTCTTTCTGACATTCTTTCTAACTTTCTTCTGCACATTCTTTGTCCCATATCTTCCTACATGAGGTCCGGCAGGGAACACTTGGCGTGGATACTCGCGGTTGAGGTCCGGCAGGGAACACTGGGCGTGGATGGTCGTGGTTGAGGTCCGGCAGGAACACTGGGCGGGGGTCGTGGTTGAGGTCCGGCAGGGAACACTGGGCGTGGATGGTCGTGGTTGAGGTCCGGCAGGGAACACTGGGCGTGGCTGGTCGTGGTTGAGGTCCGGCAGGGAACACTGGGCGTGGATGGTCGTGGTTGAGGTCCGGCAGAGAACACTGTGGATCGCGGGTCGCAGTTGGACGAGGACGACGAGGACAACGAGGACGACAAGGACGACAAGGATGACAAGGAGGACGAGGAGGACGAGGAGGAGAGGAGGAGGAGGAGGACGAGGCAGGAGGAGGCAACTGACATAAAATCTAACAACCCTCACCTGGCAGGTGGGGAACAAAAGCCGTTTTCAAGCTGATCACTTTTTGGGCCCAATCCGACGTTGTCAAACAGGCCTCAGAAAATCTTTAAAGTACTGTACAAAATCTGGAGGTTTCCTAAAGTGGGCGGACCCCCAAATCATCCATTTCAACAGGATTTCCATTATGAACAATCCATTTTGGGGTAATCATTTATGGAAACCCCCATTTCGGAATAGTAAAATCAGCTGCCAAGCATCTGTTGCGACATGATGTACCGAGCTCACTGGCGGAAATAGCCGAGCCACCTGTTGACGTCTCGGCAATGGATTTGTACAGCAGCTGAGTGTCACACCCCGCAATGGGGCGGATGCGCAGTTTCAAGCGACAGCCAAGCAAAACAGTGGAGCCTATTTGGGTTTGTCTGACAGGGTTCCGCAAGATCCAATGGTTGACTCTCTTTTCCCCTTCAGATGCGTAGTTATAAAACAGTTATTTGGGGGTAAGCCCCAGTTTCAGGCAGACCCATTTGCATTTGTCGAAGCATGTCAAATCTGCACCGAGTGTGAACCTCAAGGCAAAAGTTTTCCAGCATGTGCGTGTCCTTAGAAGGAGCTCACTTCTGCGATCATGATCATCACCGTAAGGTATGATTCTGAATGTGATGAACAGAAAAGCTGCTCAGTTCGTAATACATCGCCGCACCTTTTGACCTACCAAAACGATACAAAACAATTGTTGCGCGAGATTGCACAAACTAGAGTAGTCGTGGAGGGTACCCGCACTAGGTATCCAGACCACAATCCTAAATATCCAGGAATCCTCTCATGAACGACAATCATGAACAGCCAAGACACACGGAGATTCAACTTGTCCCATTCAGCAACTACGTCGATCTTGTCCATATCCTTAAGACAAGAAGCACACAGCTGGATGAGTCTGAATTCATACTGTTGAATGCAGTGGGATCGTTTGGGGCGCAGGCTGCGTAGGCCGGCATGGATAGCCCACCAGTTATTGTCTTTGCCTCAGGGTCGAAGATCAGCATGACACTTTTATGATTCGTTTATGAGCCACTAGAGATTAGAGGATCCTGCAGGCATCCACGGGCCTGTAGGCCCAAGATCAAAAGGTGGGGCATCCAGCAGGATTTTTTTCAAAATCAACCTGGGACACATGATAGCAAGCATGGCCAGGACGAAAACGAGAACAAGGATGAGGACACGCACAAACACTCCACGAGGGCCAGAAGCACAAGCGACCACGACAACAAGCAGAAGAAGAATCGAACGATATAAATGAGAAGAAAGGCAAACAAAATGAACGCAAATACAATAATAAATAAAGATACTGTTGTCACTTGCAGTGTCAAACGCCTGAAAAAGTGGAGTTGGAATTGTGTCTGCATTGCGCTTCATGAGGTGTCAACCCTTGGACACGGAGCAGATTTTAGTTTGGTCAAATGGTTTCAAGGGAGTCCAGCAGGAAACAGACTTTCAGGTCAAGCAGTTGGCTTTTCCAGGTCACTAGGTTCCATCGTAATTCAAAAAGATGCCATGGAGGGACGTCATCAGAACACGCTCTGGAGACCGATGAAGCTTTCAAGTAGCTGAGAACACTGAGAACCATGCCAATTGCAATGTGCCGGTGATTGCTGCAAGTCTCATGATGCAAGTGGTAAGCCTCTCGTCTCCGTGGCGGGTGTCAGCATTTTCTGTGCCATATCTGATGGGCTCAGATCATCTTTTCTCGCTGAAGCAACGTCTTCAAGCAACAGCAGCTTCCAACCTGGTGAGCTCCAGCTTCGTCATGCTTCCAAACCTCTCTTCACCTGCAAAGCAAAACCATTGTCATATACTGTCATGATAAATCCATAATCCAATAGATTCCAATAGTAGTGGAGATCGGGTGGTGTTGAAAATACTTGAAAAACCACATGGCGATTAACTGAATCAACGAGACAAACCGATGGCGATTCGGGCGATGAAAGGCCTTTTGAATGTGAATGGTACAGAAATTGAGCAACATGAGCAGACACGTCCGGTTGCAGGCAGAGCAATTCAAAATCCGCTCCAGAAGCCATTGATATCCATTAGTTAGTGGATGTTTATTCCCACAGTCATATGGTAATAATACGCTTTGAATGGTCTTGATCCATCCCCACATCCACTGGCGCCTTCAACAAACTTGCTCATGACAGCGCTATTGAAAATCCTGGCAGTCAGCAGTCTCAGGCCAGGCGTCAACTTACTCGACTTAGTGTGGCACCTGTTGTCGACTGCCTTGATGATGCTGCCGTACCAATTCACCTCGGTCCAGTGGGGGCACGGCAATTTTCTCCACGTTTGTTTTGAAGTTTGGCGTGACATAAATCTTCATCAACAGCAAATCCAACATCACCATCATCGCCATCATCGCCATCATTGCCATCATTGCCATCATTGCCATCATCAACAGGCAAGAAATGATAAGAATGGCCGCCACAGTTCCGCCAAGCTGGGCAAATCACTATTGCCATCGGCCAAAGGTAGCAATAACCAATCCTCATTGACACAAAGTGCACAAAATGTCGAACAGCATGAGAATCACCACACATCATCACAGACCCAAGGTGCAAACCATATTTCCTCCGTACGTGAACTGCTAAGCAATGATCAAAATAATCAAACGCGTGGAACATGTTGGCTCACATTCCGTGAGATTGATTGATCCAACATAGCCCCAAAGGTTCTCAAATGTACGTCCTGCTGGCTCAACAAAGCCGGAACTTGTGCTACACATGGGTGCAGTATGTGGATTTGGTATGTGAAGAAGCGAAATGGCATGCTTTGTTGATCAAAGATGTGTTCGCAGAGTCAAACATCAACAAGAAACATTAATTACAAAACAAATATAAACAAATATGTTCCCATACTCACTGGCTTTTAGATCCACAACAAGGCCAAACTATCTTCGAAGGGACATGTGAAAACCACTCCACTCAAGTGTTCACCATTTTGAGTTCATGTTGAGCATTGAATTTGCGTTTAGCTTACGTATATTTAGCCGTTCATGCAACGTTGAACCCATTTTGATCATGTGCTCTTCAGCTATGTTGTAGGATGTCGAACATGGGTCTTTTGGCGCTGCTTGAAGCATCTAAACAAAATGTGGTTAGACACAAAGTTGAGACCTTTTAAGGTAGTCGTTGATTGGATTTGTTCGCAGAGGGCACATTTACACTTTTTCAAACAGCATGTTATTTATGCCGCTAGTACGAGCGCTAGACCTTTCGCACCCCTTTTAACATGAAGTCACCCTGGGGTTTGTGCAACACTCATGCGTTTCAATTACTGTGAGTAAGTCCTTCAATTTTGAAGTTCAACATCCGGCAAAATGAGTCCACTCTTTGGATGTTCCTCAAGTAAAAGGAGAGGTCTGAAGAATGCAGAGGCCTTCGTTTAGAGTGTTTCAGATGCTTTGAAGCACATGAAGGACATGAAGAACATGTAAGGCAACAAGAACTCATGGATTCACAAATCTAGACTGCACAAATCCAGCTTTAGTACCCAAGGGGATCCCATTGGGGGTGCTCTGGGACTGCTTGGATTCTCCAAATCTTGATGCTTGATGCAGATGCCTTTTTTTTTCACATGCAGGATTTCGATCCACCGAGTCTCGGCTCATCACCCCTCATCATGGCAACCAAGTCTTTCATGATCGCTGGGTCTTCGGTGTCCGTCTCCAACATCACCTCAGAAAGATCGGTTCGAACATGGTGCAACATGGTGCCCCTTTGGAAGGAACGGTTCGCCCATGTTTGCGAAACGACTTGAAGGACGCTGCGTAAAAGAAATATCGAATGAAGAAGCCTCGAAGACCTGCAGAGACAGGGAAGCAGCCTTCTTTTAGGTCATCACTGCTGATACTGATACTTAAATGTGCTGTCCTGAGTCCTGAATGATGAGATTTAAAATTACAAAAACAACTACGCTCGGGCCTTTGGCATCTTCAGTGTAGAACTGTTCTCCCTGACCGTGTGGCATATTCTTGTAGTCCTCATCAAAGTCTCAAGTCAACAGGGATCTCAAAGTTGTGCTGAAACAGAATACGCTGTGCTAGCCTTGCTCTGTGTACAGTTTGCTGATGCAAAAAGCGCTGCGTCCTCTGCGAGTTGATCCCAGAACCGTTTCGCCTTCTCCGACTTCACCCGCTCGGCGAAGCCAACATCTGAGTGATAGCCGATGCCCAGTGTCAGCATCACATCGTTTGCGGATCCTTTCTTCACAACTGAACTCTGTGCGGGTCCATGGGATCAAAGGTGACATGTGGTGTGCTTCATACGCTGAAGCTAGCAGTACAGGCTGAGGTGCATGCTAAACATGTAGTGGTAGAAACATGCAACAAACCTTGGCACTCCAAACATCAAAAAGGACCTTCCCAGAGACCCGACGCAATCTTCTTTCTACATTCGGGGTTGAGACAAATCGAGTGCCTCCATTTGAGAATGTTCCACAATCATGAGCGCTTTCATGGGCATGAGCAGCAGCATGGTCATCCCATGTCATCCCCATACTTAACAGCAGGGGAGATGCCATGTTTGACAGCGAAAAGAAGTCATTGGAACTGCCATGTTGGTCATGCAAGGCTCTGGGATCGAGACTTTTCGTGCAGGTTGCCTTTCTCCTTGGGGAAAAACAACCAATAGCCATCAATAGCCGCACAGTGTCAAAAACAGATCATCTCCGTTCGTGCTTCAGAAAGATCACTGCGGAGGTGAACATTTAGATGCAGGTTCAGTCCAAAGACTTATAAGATCTTATAAGTAAGAATTTACTGAAAATGGCGTTTTAAAACATTTTAAAACTTGAAAAATCATGAAAAATCAGCAATGGTATCAGCCAAGTCTCGACGTTTGCAAGACCCAGAATGAAAATCGCGCGATCCACTTTGGGGACATTCGTCAGAGGCTGGCATCGAGAGTGAAGCAGCTGATGCTCATTGCTGCTCCAAGTCTACAATTGGCTCAGCACATCACGAGTATGAATTGGCTGAGGTGCGAAAGTTTGGTGGCCTGTGCACCCAAATATTGAGTCCGCACTTGTGTGCTCTTGAGCGTCAAGGCCACTGCCTGAAGACAAGCGCTTCAACATCTTTCATTGGCTAGATTTTGTCACCGACGTCCAATTCCAAAAGAAACTTGAGGCAAGTCTACTGCGAAGTCCACAACACGTCCGCGTTGCTCGGTCTTGGGTGGTCTGACATATCACAATACCCAGTAGCTGGGATACGCACCTCAAAGTCAGCGAACACGACCATGCCGGCCATGACGTAAGTCTTTCCAAGATTCTCCCTGCAGATCAGAAACGGTTGGGGCATGTTGAGGCCATCTTTGGCAACAGAAACTTCACTCAGTTGACCTGTGACACAGAGGTGCAACAGACTGCTTCGTGCTGCAGACTGGAGGTGCTGAGGTGCTTGATCTTTGCATCCCATCGCAGTGGTGTGATCTACTGATTACTCAAGGCTCCGGGCTCCCAGAAAACGACTCGTCCATTGCAGACACTGGTAAAAGCTATTGTCCCCCAACAAGAATGCCATATATGATATATGATGATATATATGTCCATAAATCTCCATAAGACGCCTCCTCAACATGTCCAGTCCAGGCCAGGCGTGCCTAATGTTGTGGCACCAAGCGTTGCTGCACATGTTCAGACCTTTCGCAATCGTCGTCAAGTGAAAGATGCAAAGGATGCCAAACCTGTCAAGCAACAACTTATCCCAACATTATTTAGGTCTTGCAGCCCATGCAATACTTCAAAGCATTAAGCAACTAAGCTGCTGTAATGTACAAGCCCAGCATTGTAGGGCTATACAAATTCAACATCATGGCACATCCATTGCGAAGGCACGAATTTGACCCTGATGTTCAAGGAGAAACTACCCCTGGCCCATGGCAATTATTCTCTTGAAGTCTTTGTCCTTTGTGTTCAGTACATTGGCACATTGGCCATTGGTGGCATGAAGAAATCGTCTGGAAAAACACCCTCTGACACTGACAGGTCAGCACCTTGACCAAAGTTGATCCAAGGCATGACCTTGGTTCCGCGTAAAAAGACGCATGGTTTTTTTTCGGCCTTCTTCGTTATCCCTCTGGCCCTATGAGTATCAAAGCTGGCAAAACAGTCTGAGGCCTCGCACTATTCGACTCAATAGACATCCCTTGGAGAAACTTTGACAGCACAAAGCAAAAAGCAAAGGTTTAATTATATCATCTTGGTCCTCTAGAGTGTCATATGCCCTTGACCTATCATCTCAGCAACGCCAACACGGGCACACAAGAACACTTTCGTTTGAAAATTGCGTAAAAACTCAAAAGCCCTTAACTTCTGGGGCACTGTCCGTGCGTCTTGATTGCTTGGCAAAGCGGCTTTGAAGCACGTTAGCTATGCTCAATTCTGAATTCTGCAGAGAGCTTTCCGTGGCTAAGCTGCTGGATGCTGCATCAAGGGGATCTGCAACCTTGAGGAAGTTGACCACATGCCAAATTGAGGACTTGCCAAGATCATGGTGGTGTAGACCAATGCCTGAGATTCCACGTCACAGGCGTCACAGGTCAAAACTGGCGCTGGTGTGGCGATGGCAATAGGTCGAGTCGCAAAAAGGAATGGCACCACTAATAATGCGATTGGAATAACCTTGGCACACAATGTGATGTTGGTCCCAAATCGGAACTCACAACGCCAGGTTTGACTTTGCTGAAGCACAAGCTGAAACGGTCTTACCGAGTCTTACCGCTTCACAGCAAGTTTAAGAAGTCCCTGAGCACAACTTGTCAAATACAAAATAGATCTTGGCCGCATATTCCTCTGCAAAGTGTTCGGAAGCCTCACCTCAAAAGAACCTTTAAATTGCTAATATCATGTAGTATCCAGCCGATCGTCACAGGACTCCACATTCTGGACACTGTGACCCTGCCGTTGCCCAGGAACCCACCAGAAATGAAGAAGAACGGCATCCACGATGGACATCTTGGTGAGAAGAAAAAGGAAGAAAAATGCAATAGATCCAGGTGTCCACGATGATCCAGGTGTCAAATTTTGTCAAATCTCAACCTTCACTTCCTTTGAATTTCATATGCTCAATGACTCAAACTTTCTTTCAAGGGAGACAATGGACACGCATTCATTTCCCATACCTATGCACAATAATTACATGCTGCATATCTGCATATCGTGAAAAAGAAATACAGACTGTTGAGAGCTCCACTCCTGGGTGGTTTTCTTTGATGAAGACTACATTCATGTGACATGTCAAGACAAGTACTGAATGCAAATAAGCAGCGGCAATGCCAGCAATGATTACGATCACAAAAGCGGCATGTACAGAGCATAGCGCACTGGGCATGGCCTGAACTGTTTCATTGACATCGATGCATCATCGATGCCGGTGTTGTACAATGGGATGGTACAGTGGGAAACTGGGCCTTGCTGGTGGGCGGCATCAAGCCATTGGATGCTGCCTCGACAGCAAGCGCAAAACCCAGTCGCATTTGTGTCTTTTGTGTCTTTACATGGTTTTAACCGATGCATAAAGAACAAAGAACAACTGGAAGTGACACAATCATCTCATGCCATGGCTGCACGCATGAACATGCATCAACATGCATCAACAAGGTCAGGACCTGCATGAGGGGCTCTGCTTCCGGCCCGCAACAACCTTGACAGCGTGATTCCAATGTGCGCAGCCCAGTTGACTGGGGGCAAATCGAGGTAGCAGGGCAGCAAGCGGTGAAAGGTTGGCAGGAGTGGCAGCTAAGAAACCATGCAAATGTTTTCCAAGTAGACAGTCTACATAGTTTTGAGTTTGGACGTGCAAGAAGGAAGAACAAATAAATTGGCAGAATGAAGCAAAGAACTCAAGACCCCTATCAAAACAACTCAAACGCATAGTCCCATGATGTCTCATTCAATCCCCAAGTCCTGTTTTTGGATCTAATATGATCTAATATTGATTCATAGTGGTCGTTTTTGTTGGTCATGCCAAGCCGCGAAGTTCAACCATTCGGGACCAGCTGGGTCCTGGCCACCTGGGTCCATCCCACAGATTCTCCATGATGAACTGAAAAATGCACACCGCTGCGCGGCTGCGCGATCACATTGATCACATGTCCAAGCTCCAAACACTCTGTCACCAAGAGCCACAGCAATCTGCTGACTTTTCAAATCATTTGAGCCACTCGAGCACTGGCCGAAGCTGTTCTTTGTACATAAGGGGGTTCAGGATGGTTCAGGATTGTTCAAGTAAAGGCACCTCGCGAGCATCAACTTGGAGGTTTGTCATGCAAGCAAGATTGCTATGACACCATCAGATTCTGATTCACTCACTTTCACGCCAGGACTATACAATTAGTCTCACTGGGCAAATCTAGCTTCGAACTCAAGAAATTGCTTCCTTTATCCGGCAAGGATGCAATCCTCAAGATGCGCAAAGCCAAGAATGCAGTAGTTTCATGTCCATATCCTGCAACAGTTCTCCATCTCTCTCCCGACACATCTTTTTCCAGCCACAAAGCTGTAAACTGTTAAATGTGAAACCAAATACGGCCAAAAATGCCAAAACAATTCTGAGTGATTCTGAGTGTGTTGTCATCCATCATCCTCTCGAAATTAGACTCTACCAACATGGCCCGCAACAAGTCCGAGCCGTCCAAGCCCTGTGACACACCCACTGGCTACATGTCACACTGGACCTGTCTAGCGGTTGCGACACGTCGCTACGTGCTCTGCCGCTCCCTGTCGCTGGATTCACTGGATTACTGGATTACCTCAAGCTTCATTAAGCAGGATGTCACTGCAGCGATGACACAGAAACGAGGGCCGCACATAACTGCTTTCGTGAAATCAATACGGCGGGTCTTGAACCTGGCTCACAGCGTCTGGAAGCAGCTTGCTGGGTCTGTGCTGAGCGTCTGCCCGTTTGCTGCACAGGTTAATGTCCAAGTAGAAGACCAAATGTATATTGGTCATGAAGACATCAGAACGTCTGACAATGGCCACTGCAAATGCCTGCTAGATCCTGCTAGTATATAGCACTTTCTGTCTGTCACTTCGCAGAGATCCACATGCAGCAGATTCTGCGTCTAAATCAAACACTGGAAACACATATATATATAATATATACCAGATCTCAAGTCTCAAGTGTCAAATTTTGTAGTGGTTCTGCTGTCCTGATCATTTGATCATTTAAAATTCGGTGAGCTGGGCAAATCACCAAAAGTACGAAACATTCAAAGGTAACGGTGGCTGCTCCCTTTTTCATTGAAAGACTGATTCATCTTGGCTCAACTCATCCTGCTGTTCACCTAGATCTTAAAGGACAAGGCAGGGCGCACCCGATCCACATGCTTCGGTACCAGAAGCCAACAATGAAGGTTCCCACGGCGCAAGCCGATATTGCCTGTCACGCATTGATAGATTCTAAATGCACAGTCGCACAGAGCCTGAACGCTGCAAGTTTAGGGTTCATCATTAACATACGGAACAAGAATCCAAAAAAGGAAGTGAAAGACCTTTGGGATGGTAATCTCAGTTCAAGGATTACCCCCATCTCTCATCATCTAATACCTGTTTCATCCACTCGAACGCTGCTTCGATGCGAACATCACCTTGAGGCCGATGAGCTTCCGCTCGTCGTGTGCGGGCTCTGCGGCCCAGCAAAGGAAGTTCACCACCTCAGCCAGTCATCGACATATCGCCAATGCCAAACATCGACGCAAAGCACAAGAATCATCAAGAATCTTGAAATTTAAGGGTCAGAACACCATTTGCATCACACGAACTCATTCTGTGAAATATGTGAAATGCCACTCGTAAGGAGCGCACATCCTTGGCCATTTGAGACTTGGTACATGGAGTTCCATCCTGCAGCAACTGCCGGAAGCCTTGAATTGTGACCGTGCCTTGTAGCAAATGTCATTGGATGGATTGCACCATGATTGTACCATGATTGTACTATGATTGTACCACGATTGTACCATGATTGCCATGATGGCATATCCCTCACCAGCAGCCTCATAGTCAACCAAGCCGTCAGAGTGCAGCGGGTTTGGCATTCCAATCAATCCTGGCAGTCGACACGATGATGTTTGGAGAACCAATCAGATCCAATAAGTGCCTTAAGCACTTTACTTGATATGGCCTTTGAAGCCTGGCCTGAAGATGCCTGAAGAATCCTTTCTGCTGGAAAAAATCTGGACTTTTCTGGAGTCGAAAGTTTCAGGCCTAGGTCTTTCTCTTTCTACCAGCCACTTTGGGTGATTTTATGAGGCAGAAACAACGGTGGCACAAGCACCTCCGGGGAAATACCTTGGATACGGGAAAGCAATGTGAGACTCATAGCTGACGAAAGATGGCTAAAGATTACTTTGTTTGTGGACTTGGTTCACTTCCTGACTCAACTCTTGGATGTTTGATTAAACTGATTCAATTCTGGATTCAATGAACATTTTCCGGCCCCTCACAACTTCTTCAAGGCACTCGTCCCCATCTTTTGCCCATCGCCAAATGTCGCTGACAAGTTGCACATTGTAATACAATCCGTCGCGCACTTCGATGCCAGCTGGAGGATCCTGCCATGTGGAGGATGCCAGGCACAGCTTGATTTATAATGTGTTTTTTATATATTTTATATTGATGTTTTTAATCTATCATGATTTTGATTTATATTATACATCTATAATTCTATAATATTCTATAATGCTTTGTATACGGCTTCATCGTGTTTCATCATGTTCATCATGTGTTCATCCTGCGCTCGTCACATCCAGTTGCAACTGCTTTACATCCGTGCAGTCGTATGTTGCTCCACAACACCGTTCAATACTTGGAGGATTCGCAGGCATCTCACTGCGTGACTCCCGATGTAACCAACACAATCCAAGCTCGGTGCTCTGTACCCCAGCAGAAGGGCGAAAATGTAATCAATACCTTGGTTGAATTGACAACTCTGAGTATATACAGACCATTGCAGACCTACTTTTGACAAGACAGACAAATCATAACAAAGCCAACGTGCTTCGCCTTGTCTCTTTCCTTGTCAAGTTTCCCTCTGCTTCACCATGAAATATGCTAAAAACAGAGGCCAAAGCCCTCATGCTTGGCAGTGGTGTACACACTGAGATCCGGCCTGTCATGACGCAATTCTCGGTTGATCAACCCATTGGATTCGTGTTGGATTCATTCCATGTCAGCTGCACGGATTTGCTCCACCATTGGCGTAGCGTGCTGCCTCGCAAAGCTTGACACAATACTTCTACCTGTTGTTAAAGGGGTAAACAACCCCCTCTATTAATCAACCAACCAATGGGAAAAGGACATCTATGCCTTCTAGTATCTTCTGGTCACTTTGAAGGCTAAAGTCTGATCCAATAAATGACACTGCAGATTGAACATGTGTTTTGAGGGTACGTTGGCCTTACACAACATCTAAAAAGCTGATAAAGTGGGATAGATTTTTCCGGAGGCCAATGTGGTGTTGACGGAGAGAGATTCAAGTATTGGTGCTGAGAGGTAAAAGATCGTTGCAAACTTCGCATTCTGAATGGGAGAACGTGCCTCTTCGTTCGGATATGGCGATGGAAAGGCATCAACAAGAATGCCAGGACGGGTGAACATCTCGCCTGATCAACGGGTGGAGCTAATCTGTCAAATAAAAACAACTTGGAAGGAGCAATCCGCAACACTGTCTTTTACGAGCTTTCAAGAACTGAAAAGCTACAACTACGGATCTTCTTGTACATAAAATTGCAGAGTAGAAAAGCGTCTTTTTCCGCAAGAACGCATCCTTTCTGCTCGTTTCTCTGCTGTCTGTTTCTCTGCTCTACGTTCGACTCTCCTTCATCATTTGGTCCATCCACAACATCGTAGCTGGCAGCTATCTCCTCTGCCCGTCTTTCAGGACGCTCCATCGAATGTAAATGGAAGAAAGCACGAATCCACAATGGTACTACTCGGTGTCCTTCATACGCTTCTCGGGAAGCACGAAATTCGACAAGTGTCTGAAGTGGAGCCTCAAACAGAACGGAACCGATAATCCGATAAGCGAATCTACGCATGAGCCATATCCGTAGAGGCATCTTGAGATGTGCATCCTTTGTACCTGCTATCATTCTCAGTGACCGCACAAAAAAGACTTGAAAGTCACACAAGCAAAGCAAAAAAACAACAAAAAATACACAACACACATGCCTTCTGTTTCCAACTAAGCTTGTGACTGCTTCATGGAGTGGCAGGTCGCACAAACCTTGAGGGCTCACCAGCAAGTTGCCACAAAAGGACGGCTTGCTCATCTTGCAGAAGTGACAGGTGGTTTGCCGGACAGCCCCACCTGACGGTACACTTCATATCCACGACCTCAGAAACACTTGGAAAGTTTTTTGAGCGGGATATGATGCACATCTTGCTGTATGTTTCACAACCTTTTTGCGCATAGATGTATTCAATGAGACATGTCAATTTGAATTTATTCAACATGTTTATTTATTTGATTTGTTGGTTTATTTTCACCAACGTGTCTTTCCACCTCTCGTCAAGTTCGTTAGCAGCGGCTGCTGGAGGCTCACCGCTGTGCTGTTTAGGGCATTCAGAGAAGCCGCCAGTCAGGAACTATGATTCATCATTATCTGGTTGGTGGTTTTAACCATCTTGAAAAATATTAGTCAATGGGAATGATTATCCCATATATTATGGAAAATAAAAAGTGTTTGAAACAAACACCAACCAGTTATAGAATAACATGTTCTAGTTCTAGAGGCTATCATAGGCTATTCAATCCATCCAAAGCTGCCTGCAGTGGATTAAAATGGATTAAATATCAACAATTACCAACATTTCCTGAGCATCCGGTCGGACACTTGGAATCTCGTGGGCGTGGAAGATGGACTTCACCCAGAAGGGATATCGCCTCATGCTCAGCGAGAAGGCACAACAAGCTGCTTGTCCCTAGACTATCATAATACGTCAGAGTGATCATCAGAATACGTCAGAGTGATCATCAGAGTGATCATCAGAGTGATCCAAGGAAACTGTATCCCACAGATGCTGCAAAGATAGACCCAACGCCACGGTCAATGACTAGGAATCACTGCAGGATTTTTGTTGAGTGCTGCACGGTGCGTGTGGTGGATCCTTATCATCGCCTCGGAGTACCAACATCCTAAACTCATGAGTTGCACCTCGCCTTCTCCAGAATTGGGCCAAAGTTCCCAGACTCTTCAAACAGAATTAGCCAAATTTACGGAGCTGTGAAAAGGCAAAAGTCTCACGATTACATAGGACTCGTTTCTTGGCCTTTCCAGCACCCAGCTGAGTTCTCGCGCAGCGAGCTGGAGCAGAGGTGAAATTCACCAACGCAGCAGCTCCGCCCAAAGCAGTGGCACCTGCACTCTGCAGAACTGCTGGGAACAACGCAGGATGTTTCCACCTATCATTTTTCTATATTTGTCTTGTTTTCTTGGTCTTTTTGCGCATTGAATTGCAGACAAAGACCAAGAGACCCAGATATATCAACAACTTGATGTCAGCCCAGGCCCCAAACGTCAGGAATCCCAAACGTGCCGTGACATGCCCTCAGTCTTGTGGTCCTACAAGAAAAGGGTTATGTGTCAACGCAACGAAGTTCTTGGAGTGCCAGAACCCTCCTACCAAAAAAGACCGCCAGCAAAACCTAAATTGGGGTTCCTAAGTTTCATCTCTTTAGTAAAAACATGAGCTCCGTTCCTAGGACCTACATTAAGAAAACTTAAGAATAGATGCACATGTTAAGAACTGACTCCCATCAGGCGCCTGTGATAGAGCGCGCAAAGCGCTTTGCCACAAATGCCATGGCCTGCAGTGACTGCGGAATTCCATGGGAAAATTGTCGGGCCTTCGGCTCTGAAAACGGTCAGCGCTATGATTCTCAACCTTGGACTACATGGAGATGGTACAAGATTGCCCTCTGGCAACCACAACAATGGCCAGTCGAAACTCCTGGAATGTGGAAATCCTCAACGCAAATGGCCACTTTCATAGGGAACATGATTAACATGATGATTCACCAGTGGATTCAGGGGTACACTGTCTTCAGACAAACCCACAATTGGCTTGGATTACCAGTTTGCACCTTGCTGGGCCAGTCAATTGATGCAATCTGCCAAGGCCTACTATTCATAATTGGAAAAGTATTCCCGCTCTGAAGTGGTTTCAAGATTTCTATAGATTTCTGAAAAAGTAGTTGGTCTTCAAAGTGACGCTTTCAAGTTTAGAAGCGTGATTGTGTGGGAACATGGATGTGTCCAGTTCCAAATAAAAATGTCAAGACCTTAAAGCAAGCATCCCAGCAATTCCTGATAGCCCAAAACTCGACGCGCGTTTCAATGGCCTCCCAGCTATTGTCCCACAGTCGTGGTCACTTGAGCCACAGAAGCCTTCCCGGTCCAGCTGTGCTTTCGTGGTGTGGGATTGAAGCTAGGTCCTGTTTTTTCCACAAGACAAGAGTTGCAACAAACCCATCAAATCCCATCAATAAAGAAGTCACCGCGCTTCTTCTTAGATTAAGTGCTGGATCTTGTGGACTCCCTTTTTGTTTAAGCAGCAATATATGCTGCGCAGATCCTTTGATCTACTGAGCGGTCGCTTTTGGAAACGCTCAACGGAGATTCTCCAGACCTCAGCAGAGGAAAACACAAGGCCAGTGGAGGATTTCTTCATGGGTCTCCAAATGAAAGGACCGCAATGGCCAGCGAACGCAGTTTCAGTACCGTCACAATTCTCTGTAGAAGGCGTGGATTGGAAATCTCTTCTCCACACACGAAGCTTGGAACATCTTGGAACAAATTCATAGTTTAATAGTTCAATGCTAAACATGTTGAAATATGTTGAAACTCCACCGAACGCATTGGTACAGGAACTTGAAGATCTACACGACTTGTGTAATTCGAAATGATTGTGGCAGGCGGTTTTGTTGAAACACAAAATAATACAACATCCACAGCACACATCAATCATATGGGATGCCACTGCCAAACAAACAAACATAAACAAACAAAAATCATAAAACAGCAGTAACTCTATGGGTCCCACGGGTGTTCTCCCATAAAGGGCACGGTCATCTAGAAACAGTACAAACGAGGTCTGAAGAAACTACGACCAAGATAGTATTCCAAATGTGAACACCAAGGTTTGTGACCTTCGCCGATCATCCAAATCCAGGCCAATGCTTACCGAATGAGGCAGCAATCACCGCTGTGAAACAAACTTTGGCAGCCTCATAGGAATTTGGTCGAACCGTCCACAACGAAACGATGAAGGATGTGTTTTGAAGGGAAACACCCAGACTACGCATTGAGTCTACACTGGTGTGCGGAAAATGTTTGATTGACTCCCAGATTGCAAGCCCGGGTCTCAGTTTCATCCAAGCTTTAAAAGCCGCAAAGTCCACTTGATACTATGATATACTATGATACCTATACTATATATAACATTATATAACCAGCCGGTGTTGGAATAGTTTTCTCAAGAGGGTTACCTGGAGGCGTGGTTCCTGTACAAGCCTTGGGCGCTGCACTTCTGAGACAAGCTTCGAAAATATCGAAGACCCAAGACTATACCAAGGAATCATGAAATGGTCAAATGGTCAAATGATCTCAAATGGTGGATACTTCGGAGTTGATCCGATATCGTTGTGATGGGCTCCGAACTTCTGAGATCTGGGCTGAAGAAACCCTCCTACATCCTCCGTCATTGACGACGGACTTTACCCAAAACCTCAGGCTGGTTTTGGGCGCGCGTGGTTATGACAAATGCCAGCTTGTGACATCCAGGTATGTCCATGGTATGGGTTGGAAAGCCCAATGTTGTCGGAGTATTTCACTTGCGTTGGAACTCTTGCAATTCGGAGCAAATGAATGGGCGCGTGCCAAAAAATAAAGATCCTTTACAAGTCGACCCGCACCTTCCAAATGTTCCAAATGCTATCTTTTTCCATGTTGCATTTCGGTATGCGCTGGTAAGTGAATTGTGAACTGAATCCCAGAACCCAAACACAAGCGAATATCTACTCACCATAAAACAAATTGATCTGAACTTTCGGTACCTAGATACTCTTCCTTCAAATCCTCACTGAGCTGAGAGCGCGAAGAATTTCAACGCAGGTGTCCAGGGCCAAATTCTTCCCTGCAAAGCTTTTCTGAACTGCACAAATCCAAGCAGACCCTGGAATATCCTGGAATCGAGAAACAAAGAGGCCAAGCCTTTAGGATCCTTTAGGCTTTTCTGAACTGCACAAATCCAAGCAGACCCTGGAATATCCTGGAATCGAGAAACAAAGAGGCCAAGCCTTTAGGATCCTTTAGGCACCTTTTTTATCCTTTTTTTCCGTGTGAAAGTTGTGATCAGACCTGACCTGACCTGACTTCTTAGGTGTTTTCCCTGGACGCCTGGGCATATGCGGCTTCCATCCTTTCCAACATTGGCGAAGACCATGTTCTTCTCCTGTGGTAGACCGAAGTCAACCATGAAGCACATTGTGGTCGTCCCAAGCGTCATCCCAAGCAATGCATCTGTTCTATCTCAAGAGCTTGATCCCCTCAACCTGTGAAAAGGATCGGACCTAGCACAGTCTGAATCAGCGATGTCTGGATTTGGAATCGACCCCCATATGGAAAGGAATTTCTGTATCTTCCTAACCTTTTTGGTGCGGTTCCACGTTTTCTGTCTCTAGTGGCACCACTGCTATGCGCAAGAAAGGGACGGTGAACCGAAGCACTGTGGCACCGCACCCGCAAATCTGGCCGAGTAGGATCAAATTTGAAGACATTGACGCCCCAGGTCTCCTGGCAGTCGCAGACTCTGTGTGTCTGTGTGAGGACTTAATGGTCAGAAAAAAAAACGAGACGCAGAGTGGGTAGGAATATGTAAGGATTGAAAACCAATCGATCCCAATCGATCCCAATCGATCCCAATCGATCCCAATCGATCCCAATCGATCCCAATAGTCCCCAATCTTGGTTATGCTTTCATAGTAACATGCATTCAACATCCAGGTGACTTGAACTATACAGTACTGCCCGGCCTTTTCAGTCATGGCCAGGTTCCTGGGCACATGGGTTAAAGGTGAATGCTTGGCGAGTCTACCAAAGGTGATAGAAATCAGTTCATAAACCGAATGAGCGGATGGTTCATCCAGTGTCCATCGTGTATTCTATGTTCCCATTCACAAAGATGCCTTAACCCAGCTACAAACTGCTTCTAAGTTCGGAATCCAATCAGTTCTCGAACAGCCTGCAATTGGATCATGAAATCACCGAGGCACGTGGGCACAAGAATCTTTGTTCCCGCGGGGAAGTCCACAGTTTGACCTGGCCATTCAAATCGCGTGTTTTTTTCCAGCTTAACAAGGGGTGCGAGGCATGTTGCGCGTCTGGTAAAGCATTCATGGCTAGCATCTTTAAGATCTTTAAGTCTTTGGATCCCAGAAAAGTCGAAATGTGACACATTGGCCTACAAATCCATGATGTCGATATCACTATGAGAATCTGGCGGAAGCACATGAAACAACCCGGTCGTCGCGAGCCTTGCAACACCACTGAAAAGGGCTCCTCGGTGCATCACTTCTTTCGCCGTAAGCAGCGACACAAGCAGCGACGTCAGCGCATGGAAATGACATGTTTTTTGTAACCTGAAAAATCCTGGCAGAACTCACAAAATATGGACTGAAAAGACATGAATGGAATGGAATGGAATGGAATGGAAAAATTAGCTGCCAAGCATCTGTTGCGATATGATGTACCGAGCTCACTGGCGGAAAGAGCCGGGCCACCTGTCGACGTCTCGGACACTGTGCACGTTCTTCAGTGCAAGACTTGTCAAGAAACATGAAAAACATGAAAAACATAGGAATATCCTACTGATTCACACTTGCAGTCACAAAATGTGAAATCTAGAAACACTCAGTGAAGCCTCAAGGCAGAAGTTTTCCAACATGTGTGTGTCCTTGGACGTAGCTCGCATCGGAGTTCATGTCTGCACTGAATGGTACGAAAAATGCTGCGAAAGGAAATGCTGCTCAGTATGCCATGAGGCCAAGTGCCTTCTGACACAAAAGATTTTTCTAGGGCAAAGTCGCTCAGGAGCATGGAACCTAGCTATCCACGTCACAACCCGCAATCCACCTCAATCTAGATGAATCGTGAAGCCAAGATTGAAGCCAAGATACATTCAGATCCAACTTATCCCATTCAGCAGCTACATCAATCTTCTCCATATCCTTGAGAAGAACGGCACAGATGATTCACTGGGTGCCACCAAGCAGAAGCATTGCAATCAGTCCCGCACCTTTTTCCCTTGTTTCATAACTCCAACAAATTGTGTCTTCGTCTGAAGCCCAGAAAACATCTGTTGTTCTCAAGCAAGTATTTTGTGAGATGAGACAGAATCAATTCGAAGCCTGAGGTAAATTGCCAAAAATGTCCCCTGCATTTGACTCATTGATAAAGCGTCTCTGAGCTGTGGGTACAAACATCCTTTCTACTTGCTGTACAAATCAACGATTCCTACATTCAAACGGTTTTGTGCAGTGGAGGGCTTTGCTTGGGCGCAGGCTGCGAAGGGTGGCATTGTCAGCCCACCGGTCACGGTTTTTGCCTGAGGTCCAAAAAAAAAACTTTAGCTACGGGATACTGCAGGCATCTATAGGCCATACAACCATACTCCAACAGAATCCAATCTCAAGATGACTACGACAGCCAGTACTTGCTGCGGCGGCCAAGGACAAGATAAAAAAAAACAAGAAAAATGAGGACCGGAGCCACTGACGACCATGACCACTTGAAGAAGAAGGAGGAGATTCAGAAGAAGAAGAACGCACTTGGAAAAGAAGCAGAAAATCAGACATGGAATAAACGGTCAAACACCAGGTGATCAATGGCGTTGACACTTGAAATGTGGTGTTGGTATCATTAGGCCGGGTCCAATCAATCCATGCAGTTCCCAGCAGGACGCACTGACATTCCCGGAAAATAAAACATCCATTTGTCTCATAGCACGGATGACACGACCAGGCTCTACTCTGTGCACTCGACATGATGCCAACCAAGGGTGTATAAAATTGTATAAACACATATGTCACATATGTGAAAATGAAAAAAACACCTCATATTTGAAGTCATCGGATGCCCTGGGGAACAAACATCTTTAAAAAGGACGGCAGGACGCAATCGTGCAGCTGAGAACCGTGCCAGTTGCATGGTGCCGGTGATGGCTGCAAGTCTCATGATGCACGTGGTAAGCCTCTCTTGTGTCATGTGGACATGATGACTTGCATAGATCACACCGCAGCCGGCAGCCCATGTTTCAAACTGTGCAGCATTGCTTGGCTCTGTGTGTGCATAGTTCACCACACCAATATGCCATTTGGTATCCCAAACATTCTTAGCTCCATCCGATTCAACATGTTCGATGACACAACCCGTCACAACCCCTTTTTTTCAACGATGTCCCCTTTCATTTCTTGAAATGAAAAAGAACATTAAAGAACACAAAGCAGATTTCCCCATCTCATTTTCTTGGAATGTCAACTGAACATCCCACCCATTTTCCAAATCATGCTCTTAGGATTCTGTGAAAACACCCAATTTTTCCTATGGTGACCTGGTGAGCTCCAGTCTCGTCATCTTTCCAAATTTCTCTTGGCCTGCTCGAGGTGTTGGCGGCAACGGGCAGACAGCCCAGCAGAACAAGCGGTGGTGGTCGTCAGGTCATGAAAACAAATATGAAAACGCTGTTGAATGTGATTCTGGTTGGTGGTTTCAACCCCTCTGAAAAATATTAGTCAGTTGGGATGATTATTCCCAATACATGGAAAAATAAAAATATTCCAAACCACCAACCAGGATCTATATGTTCCTAAACAGACTGGCCAAACAAGGACATCGCATCAAACATGGTATTGAACATGATTGAATTTGAGCGAAACGAAACTAGCAAACAAAAGTGGCATCATCAAGAGTAACTCAAAATCTGCGGCAGGCAGCCCTCACTGACAAGCTGGTGACGTGTCCTATCATCAGACCCCCACAATACCAAATACATCCAAATACTGTAAATCTGACGCGACTTCAAGGAAACCTTACGCATTCTTCAGCGATCTCATTGCTGCCTTCAACAAACTTCGTCATGACGGCGCTATTGAAAATCCTGGCGTGGCGGCTTGGATCATCCAAAGTTCGACTAACCGCAATTCAGCACCTGTCGTCGACTGCCCTGATGACGCTGCCATACAAATTGGCCTCAATGGCAACTTGGGTTTCATATGCCAAATATATATATATATATATTTATGTATATATATATATATATACATATATTGCATATCATGATCGTCGTCGACCACACTACCATTACCGCCACCACAAACAACAAGATCATGCTTATGGCCACTATCAACAGCATCATGACCACCACGACTACCACCACCGCCACCCTCAGCAACAAGAAGAACAAACGTCAATAGATGATCAGCCTTCCACGCGAAAGTCACTCGGTCACAAAGAAAACCGCAAAACTGAGGAAATGGTGGGACTTCAGCGAAGCTGAGCAAAGCGCTACTGCCATAGGCCAGAGGTAGCACCAAGCAATCCTTGTGGGTAGAGATTGCAAAAAAAAACACTCAATGCTGCCATATGATTCAGTACCTTCGCACTGTTTTGTGATGTGGGTGGTCTCTGTAGCATGATCAATGCACGAAAAGACAGTGCAGAAGAAACTTGAGGCGCTGTGTTTTGGTTGTATGAGATCCTTAGTTCGGCAAAAAGTGAGTGAGTGTGTGTGTGTGTGTGTGTGCCCAAAAGAATTCTTGAATACTGTCGGCATACTCGACCCTACTCTTGAGGTTCCACTTGATCACTCATCGTTTCACTTGTGTTGCCCATATTCTGGTGAAGTGCTTCGCATTGGATCATTACAGGATTGTTTGGTTGCAAGTTATGGGAGCCTTCTGTCAAGTATCATTAGGGGTATTAGCGTATATTAGCGTTTATTAGCGTATATCCATTTGAAACATGTGACCAAAATATCTGACCGCACGCCAACTCATGCCAAGATTGGCCCAAAACCAACCAGTGACTCAAAACCAATTGAACACGTGACTTCAACCATAAATAAACCAGAGATCCATGACTTGAAAAATGCGCATGAAACCGACCTGCCATCCAATTCCTTGCTAAAGCAAGAGTAACTCCGGCTAGCTGAGGCTGGCTTTCGTGACATGAATATGAATGGATGTGAACATGGATATGAACGCACAGCGTAGAAAATACAGGCGTGTCTTGTGTTCAAGGCTCCCAATAGATGCAATTGAAGGATTGCTATTGCGCATGGATCTGATAGTGCTGTAGTTGGAGTGCCCTACTGAATGCCTCACACAGATATCCCATACCACACAGCGGCCCCTTTTCATCCAGGCTCGGCTGGTCACCCCTCATCATGGTAACCAAGTCTTTCATGATCTCTGGATCTTCGGTGTCCGTCTCTAACATCACCTCAACGGGGCCAACAAAAAATTCAATGCAACATCCGAGAACTGAAAAACGGTTCGCTCATGTTTGCTTCGACTGTAAGGACGCTGCGTAAAAGAAGTATCTGATCAAGAACCCTCGAAGACCTGCGACAAAGCTCCAAAGGCTTGGTGGTGAAACACATCCGCATTCCGTTGTCCACGCCCTCCTGTGATTGGTCACTAATGATGGAAGTGAGCTTTCCAAAACAGTTAGTATAAAATAGATTAAAATAGTGTATAGACAAATAAGAAAACAAGACACACTCACCCCCACACCTTTGTCGTCTTCGTTGTAGAACTGCTCTCCCTCACCATGTGGCATGTTCTTGTAGTCCTTGTCAAAGTCGTGGAAGGGCGCAAGAGTAAAAGAGACAAAAAGGACTCAAAGTTGGGCTGAAGCAGAATATGCTGTGCTAGCCTTGCTCTGTGTATGGCTGTTGCAGAAAGGGCTCCGTCCTCTACCAGCTGATCCCAGAACCTTTTCGCCTTCTCCGACTTCACACGCTCGGCAAAGCCAACATCTGACAGCGGGATAGAATGGATTGTATCATATGAATTCATATGATCCTTTACAGATCTATTTCGTGGCCAGTGATTTTCAGTGATTCCCAGTGCCGGCTATACCCAGAGTGGCTCACTAGATCAATCCATCGCTGGGATCAAAGATTGTCAAAGATGGCATATGTGGAGTATGCTGGACCTTTTCAATACACAGCGAGGCTGAGGTGGATGCTAAACATATAGTGGTAGAAGCATGCAACAAACCTGAGTCAGTCACACCACGCATCAGTCTAAAAGATTCTAAAAGCACATGCACAAAGTCCAGATTCCGTGAGTGCCTTGATTTGGTACAAGCAAAAGCCCAAAAGACTGTTATGTTATGGATTTGATTTCTATCTGGTAAATGCATTCTTGAGGGAAAATAGGGACATGAGTCACTGGAACTGCCATATTGGCCAAAAAGGCACCATGCAATAAGCTCTGCTGGGATCAAGACTTGTTGTGCAAACAGCCTGTTTCCTTGGGAAGAGCAATAGCAATAGTAGCAGCAGCAACAGCAGCAACAGCAGCAGCAGCAACAGTAGTAACAGCAACCGCAAATAAATGCAGTGTAATGGTCAGCAAAAAATGTGGGTTCATGCTTCAGAAAAGGCTACCTTGAACTGCCTCAGGCTTATAGACAGTTCTTTTCACAGCACAAACCATGAACATCGTGTTCTGGAACACCTCTGTTTTCATGTCAATTCAAACATAGCCATGTCTTGGACAATACTGAAAAAGCAGCATTCTTCTTTTCCGCCAAGGTTCCGTGTTGGCCAAACCCAGCAGGAAAATCTCGCGATCCACTTGCGGAAGGTTTGTCAAAGGCTGGCACGGAGGGATGGAGCTTAATTGGCGACTGCAAACGGCTGGGGAAACTGCAGAAGCCGATAGACCCGGCTGGACCCGGCTGGACCCGGTGGCCTGTGCGCCCAAGTAGGAAGTCCGCACTTGTGAGCTCTTGAGAGTAAGGGCCACTGCCTGTCATGGACGGCATGGACATTCCAAAAAATCGAAGTCTTGAGATCTGGAAGTTGCTGTTGGACTCGGCCTCATAATCAGCGAAGCCGACCATGCCAGCCATGACGTAGGTCTTTCCGAGACTCTGTCTGCAATTCGTTGCGATGCGCGCTGGTAAAGTTTGACTTCGGTGAGTCGGAGAGATAGAGAACGTTGAGGCCATCTTTGGCGAAAAGCCCTAGGGAGATTAGGAAGCTAAGCTGTTGTACGTTTCAACTCTCAAAAGGTTGCTGCACCCAAAAGCAATGAGAATGCACACGTGGGTCGGAAGAACAACTGGTATTTTTCTAGGCTTCCAGAATCTTCACCCCATCTTTGCTTCACATCTGGAACTTGCTGAGTAGGGCAATAGACATCTACTACTTGCTTTGGGGCCCCAATTTCCACAGTCCAGCCTGAGTTCTTGGCACCAGGAATTACTGCACATGTTCAGACCTCCCAACATTCGAAGCAAAAATCCAAAGGATCTCAGACTTGTAAACATATTTTCCCGACATATTGATACAGTTTTGATCCCAACAATGTTTGGCATTGCCAGCCCAACACTTCTGTCTCAGTGCGGTTTTCACCTTGACCAAAGTTGACCCACGGCATGACCTTGGTCGACGTGCCCAGCTACACAAAGCCCTGACATTTGACAGATGTGACAGTCTGAGGGTGCCGGCTATTCGACTAAACATATAGTCCTTGGATCAACGTTGGCAGAGGCACGGAGCAAAAAGTTTAAAGGCCATATCCTGGATCCCGTTCAGAACTGATGGTCCCTACAACCAACCCACACACACACACTAGACAAGAATGGATCATTATATGATCCGGCAGGAACTGAATCCTGAAACATGCAGATTAGAGTTGAAACAACGAAATTAATAATGCATCCTACGAACAAACGGCTTGGTGGTTCTCGGGTTAGCCACGTCCCATCACGAAGAAAAATTGCAGGTACGTTTACACCCCCATACTGTCTGGTCTTCGTTGGCCAGGACAGACAGTGATGGGTTCCTGGCCCCCTGCCATATATAATATAATATAAGGACGAAGTTTTACGTCTATTCAGACGATACACACACACACACACCCTGCCTCCGGCAGGGTGGTGCGCGTAAAAATGAGATGAAAGTGAGGATGAACGGGGGATGAAAATGAGATGAGAGTGACAATGAGATGAACGTTACTTAACCAGGACGCGAAGAGGGGAACGCAAAAGAAGAGGGAAGGAGCAAACACACACCAACACACCTAGCCCGGAGCGGGCGAACCCTGAAAAGGCAAGGGAAAAGAAAAAAACGGAGGGTCGACGGACACGGACCAAGACCAGCGGAGGGGGGGGAAGACGGAAGCGCCTGAACCAACCTGCCAAAGCGAAAACCTACCAAAACCTCAGCACGCGACGGAACCAACCTACCTGGGGAGGGAGGAGAGCATGAGATAGGGGACCAATGGGGAACTAGTTAGTGAAAACAAAACCAAAAACAGGATTCAGTCCCTAAAGGCCTAAATGTCGTGCGATTATTCCCTGCACCGGGACCGTGGTCAAGTCTTGCCCCAATTGGCATAAAACAGCTTTCAAAGTCCATCGAATTAGGTGCGCAACATGTTTCACCTCACCAGAGACCATCAAAAGAAAGAAGACCACACCTGAAAGTCGTGTGCCTGCCTGTAACCCTTCACATGGTCATGTTTCACTTCCAAAGCTGGAGCTGCAGTGATCGAAAAAAGAACGTTTCTGGTTGTTCCGCAAGACTTCTCTCTGTGAAGAATGCAATTCACGAGGATCACAAGGGACCGCTGAGGCCGCAGGACATCTCAAAATGGCTGACAAACCGCAAGGCCGATTGTTGCACTTTACTTAAACGAATTACTAATTCAAAAATGTAAATTCGGAAGTCAATTCAGTCGACATTCACCCTAAATAGGGTTGCCTCAATTGGCCCTATGGCACCATGTCGGAGTCACCATAGGAATCACACTAGACAAGAATGGATCATTATATGATCCGGCAGGAACTGAATCCTGAAACATGCAGATTGGAGTTGAAACAACGAAATTAATAATGCATCCTACAAAAAAACGGCTTGGTGGTTCTCGGGTTAGCCACGTCCCATCACGAAGAAAAATTGCAGGTACGTTTACACCCCCATACTGTCTGGTCTTCGTTGGCCAGGACAGACAGTGATGGGTTCCTGGCCCCCTGCCATATATAATATAATATAAGGACGAAGTTTTACGTCTATTCAGACGATACACACACACACACACGCATACATGTACACCTTCGTGCATGTAGGAGCGCAATGGCTGTGAACAGACCGTTTGCCGCAATGGTAGGCAAAGTTGCAACAGCGCTCACAGCTACCGTGTTTTGTTTTTCTCCTAAATACCTATCTCCAACAGCCATTTTGAATCCCAAATCATCCTCCGGAAATGGAGAGTTGTAGCAGTACTACAGTACTACGCACTATGTACTAAGGAGAAGAGGGTTTGCAAGACAGAGATTGCTACCCTACAACCTGACTGGTCCATGGCATTCCATGGCACCTATGGACGGCCAAGCTGCTGGATGCTGCATCAAGGGGATCTGCAATCGGGAAGAAGTTGACCACAGACCAAATTGAGGAAGTGCCAAGATCCCCGTAAGGTAGACCAATACCTGAGGTCCCATGTGCTCCAACGTTCATAAAGAGTTGTTCCTTCAAAATGAACATTTCCCTCGTCAATGCGAGAGCCACTGGCATATGCTGTCGAGTCGCGAAGAAGAACGGTGTCAGTATCGCGAGCGGGAGAACCTTACCAGCGCCGGGTTTGCTGCACAATGGAAACGGCCGAGTGTTTTGCACGGCGGTTCGCTTCAACGTCTCACAAATCAAACTGTTGTAGTGTGACCAGCATGTGAATGTAACCGGTCGATTCTCAAAGGACTCCCCGCAGCTTTCAGTCCAGTAACCCACCAAGTCTGAAGGAAAAGCGCATCCACGATGGCCATCTTGGCGCGGGGCTTCAGTGTCAACCCTGAACTCACATGAGTCAGCTATCTCACCGTACCTTCTACTGGCAAGGAGGACAATGAAAATGGTGCTTTTCTCATACTCATTCACGCTAAATGCAGATTTTGAAAAAACGTGAACAAACACTGAAAGACCATTGAACTGACGAATCGTGGATTTCCAGCAGAGGAAACTGATGTAGAGTGCGTGAAGGCAGGGAATGATACGGACTGATACAGGAAGTTCTTAAAGTGGTGGTACCCCAAAACCAGTGGTGAGCACTCAATGCAGCAATTAACGGAGGAATTGATTCGTATATTATACTTAATTACAAGGGTCTTATCCGGTGAACCTTAAGCTAGTTTCCATATTAAAAGTATTTGATTTTTCGGATCCCCCAATTTCAAGCATCACCCATTTTGGCTGCATCTTGGTGCAAATGAGCAGCAGCAACTGCGGCAATGACAATGAACATAAAGGTTCCATGTGCGCCGCAGAGTGGGTTGGGCAGCCCCTGATCAATGCTGAGGGCTACCTCATGGTGCCTCATGGTACCTCGTTGATACTTGATCATCAAAATCCTGGCCATAAAACGGGTTAGTTAACAGTGTGTCCACACTGAAGGGTTCTTACGGTAGTTGTAAAGGCCGGTGCTTGATCAGGGTGTTCACTCTGGGCCCGAGCATTTTTCCTGTAAATTTAGGTATAAAGTGGCTCTTGTGAAATGCTGACGTGCATTTCGACTGCACAGGCTAGCACAAAGGTTGGCCGCGGGTTTGGTTTGCGGCGTTTTACCTGTAAATTTCCGTATAAAGTGGACCTTGTGAAATGTTGCAGTGCATTTTGATTGCGCAGGCTGGCACAAAGTGTGCCTGGGCCCACTTGCCAGCAGAGCTCTTATAGAGATCTTGTACAGAGATCTTGCCACGAGACCTCTTATGGAGCTCTTGTACGGAAACATTGCATAGAGATCTGTTGCCGAGATCTTGCCAAGAAGCCCCTGACAGAGATCTTGCCAAGAGACCTCTTATAGAGATCTTGTACAGAGATCTTGTACAGAGATCTTGCACAGAGATCTTTTACAGAGATCTTGTACAGAGATCTTGCCAGGACACCTCTTCTGGAGACCTTGTACGGAGACATTTCCTAGAGATCTGTCGCAGAGATCTTGCCAAGAGGTCTCTTACGTAAATCTTGCCAAAAGAACTTTTATAGAGAGCTTGTACAGAGATCTCATAAAGAGATCTTGCCAAGAGATCATGTATAGAGAGCTTGTCCAAGAGGTCTTGCCAAGACACCTCTTACAGAGATCTGTGCAGAGATCTTGCCATGGGGTCTCTTACATAAATCTTGCCAAGAGAGCTTTTATAGAGATCTTGTCCAGGAGGTCTTGCCAAGACACCACTTACAGAGATCTGTACGGAGATCTTGCCAAGAGGTCTCTTACATAAATCTTGCCAAGAGAGCCTTTATAGATAGCTTGTACAGAGATCTCATAAAGAGATCTTGCCAAGAGATATCTTATAGAGATCTTGTCCAGGAGGTCTTGCCAAGACACCTCTTACAGAGATCTGTGCAGAGATCTTGCCTTGAGGTCTCTTACAGAGATCTTGCCAACAGAGCTCTTTTAGAGATCTTGTACAGAGATCTTGCCAGGAGACCTCTTATGGGGATCTTGTAGAGAGACCTGGTGAAGAGAGCAGAGGTCTTGCTTGGAGATCATTTATCGATAGTTTGAACAGAGATCTTGCTCTTTGAGGTCCCTTACAAAGATCTTTCCTATAGACACCTTGTACAGATAACCTTACACACGGATGTTGCACAGCAGCTTCTACAGAGAACCTGTCAAGGAGATCTTGCGCACGATCTTCTACAGAGATCTAAACAAAGGGAACTTGCAGAATCTTACCTGGTATCTCTTCTTTTCACTACTAGGGTCGCTCTTGTCCTGCTAGCTTGCAGCCACTGATGCTTTTAGGTCCTTTCCGCCTTTCCTCCACCTTACTTTGCATCCTCAACTTCATCTTCCGCAGCATCATCCTCATCCTCATCCTCCTCAACATCATCATCATTCACATCATCATCCTCCACCTCCTCTTCCGCAACATCATCCTCCTGCACCTCATCTTCCGCAACATCATCCGCCTCCACTTCATCTTCCACAACATGTTCCTCCTCCTCCTCATCATCATCATCAACAACAACAACAAGAACATCATCATCATCATCATCATCACCATCATCATCATCATCATCCACATCATCATCATCATCACCACCACCACCACCATCATCATCATCACCAGCATCATCATCATCATCATCATAATCTTCCCCCACATCATCATCATCATCATCATCATCATCATCATCATCATTATCATCATCATCATCATCATAATCATAATCTTCCCCCACATCATCATCATCATCATCATCATCATCATCATCATCATCATCATCATCATCCACATCATCATACATTATCCCCACACTCCCCCACACTGTTTGGGGTTTCTTGCCGGGATAATTGTTTCTTTCTGACACTCCCATGGGTGGCACCTTGCCGGTGGGTGGCATCAAGCCATGGGTGGCCTCAACACGCTTACGACAGGGACAAGGTCGAGCCGTTAGAGTCTTGGGAAGATGGTAGCCAATAGGATACAGGTTGAAACTGCGAGCTTTCAAATTACAAATGTATCTTGATTACTTATGATTATTTGTTTTTCGCTGCTGGATCTTAAAAACTGATCTTGTGAAGTGAAACACTCTCTTGCCACGGCATTGTGCTTGCGCAATCGAGATCACGACTTGCATGAGGGGCTCCGTGTCGGGTGCACTCCAACAACCTTCCCAGATTTGCGAGTCCGAGCGGCTCAACTCGTGCAGTGCAAGTGTTCTAAGATATTCTAAGCATTCACAAGTCATTTCACACGCTTTACACACACAATCGCACACACTGCTTTTGACCATGATATCGATGATTTCCGCAGATTGGTTCAAGCTGCCCCTTGACTGCGCGAGAGACATGGTTTACAAATGCAGGAAGTAACAAGAGGTGCACTGACTGCAGCAGTGGGTGAGAGTGATGACTTTATCTGTTGCTAAGGTCGTGCAGTGGCCGGCACAAGTTTCGGTTCAAACTATTTAAGCACCGCTGTGGGGCGGTTTGGGAACTTTTGGGATCATTCAATGAGTTAGAAGGTCTATCATTGTACGTAATCTGAAAAACTGGCATTTTAAATGCATTGAACCACAAGTTCAAGTGGTGCAGTTAGAGGTGCTAGGAGATAGAACAAATGAATTGCCAGAGCAACTCCAGACACCAACATCTCTACATAAATATATATATATATATATACATACATATCCAACGGTCATGTGTTGCATTCCAAATGTCTTGCACTTTCTCACTCTTCTGCCAAGCCACACAGTTGAGTCTTTCGTTGAGACAATCGTTGAGCCATCCTGGACCTCTTGGGTCACAATGGCCTCAGTTTGAGATTCGCATTGGCGTTTCAGGACCTCGTCATCAACTTGACCGGTATGAGGAGAGCTTCGAAAGGGAATCCGGGAATCCGAAAGGGAATCAGAGGGAGTCAGAAGCACAAAAAAGACATCTCAAGACAATGGGGAAGCCAAAGTCATTGTAGATTTTTCAATCCAGAGCTACACATCCCCGCATAACAGTTCCAAGCTCCAGACCTTGTCACCCAAACAAAGCCACGGGAGCACAGCGCCAAAAAAATAAAAAATCAGATGGTGAGATCTGTGGGGTTCAGTCAGACTTTGATCCCATTCAAATGGGCTGAGTGCGGGTGGAAGGACCTAATGAGTCTTGCAGAGGATATCTTACTTCTGACTGATAAAAGGGTTTCTGAGTCAATCATATGAATCATGTGCCTCCTCAAAGTTCACTAAGCCAAGAAAGCGGAATGCAGACTTCTTTGCATGCTCTTTGCTCTAAAGTGCTCCACTCATGCGTCTTGCCCTACTCATGCATCAATCACACTTGACTTCTGCCACCGCAACTGCACTTCTTTTTCTAAATTCTTTGATGTCCGTCTCGACCCATCTTCAACCTTGAAAGATGGAGACAAATGCCTGGCTTCTCTTCGACCAAAAAACGCTCATGCAACAAGGAGCAGAGGCTTGATGCAAGGTGAAGTGCGATAAGGCGATAAAAATCATTGTAATCCAATGATATCCAATGTAATCCAGAGATTCAATGATCCATACAGATCCAGGACCCTTCAGCACATGCAGGGTCGACTCTGGTGGTGGCCAGTAAGATAAATGATCCCGTCCATCTGCGCCATCAAGATCATCCAACCAGCCGGCCTTTGCGCCTGTGAGATCTGTGAGCTATCGAAACTCCTGGACTGTCTATTCAGTCCATGAGAGTATTGCTTGATATCTTGGCTTTGTGTCCCAATTTTTTTGGAAGACCTGCAATCCATCTCTTTTCAGGCATTTGCGTGGGTACCGGCTTCCCTGCTTTACCTTTGGGCAAAACAACATTGTCATATATGACAAGCCACTACCCGGGCTTGGAAGTGATCCTTCCCATGTGCCTGGGAAGCTGTCACAGTAAGGCACCTTGGACACGAGAAGACATGGGTTTGACAGAAATAAGATGCCCCCAATTCCAAAGGAGGGATTTAATGGATTATAATGGATTATAATGGATTATAATGGATTATCATTATCTTCAATGGATTATAATGCCAAGTGAGGGATTTACTCTGAAAATTCTATTGACAAAGCCATAACAGTCGCCCCAAGTCCGACAGAAACGGCACACTGTCCAGCTGATGAAACAAATCGCAGAATTTGCAAACAGAGCTTTAAACAGCAAGGTGTTTTTGTTCATCAGTGTCACTGTGTCACTTTGCAAATCATGGGACGTTCGATCCATGCCATTCGCTGAGCACAAGCACGTATGGCTTGATGTCAAGCACTGGAGTGCCGTCGAGCAAGTCAAGGCCGCGAACAAAGACTGACAGCAGCTGCGTGCCGCAGTCGGGAAGCTGAGGAAGAAATCACTGGATGAGTCTTTCATATTTATCCACATTTGTTGTTACAACATCAGATTATAGATAGCCATAATCAGATTATTGAATCACATCAGATTGTTTGTTATTATAGATGTCAATTAAACAGTATTAAGCATCATCAACGCCTCTGCTGTCAGTACTGAATCGTGGACGAAGTAAAACGTTTCACAGTGAGGTTGGACAAATCATTACTAACTACCCTCTGGTGATTGAACGTAGCTATTGAAAATCACCATTTTGAGTAATTAGATAAATCATCTATAAATACTGGATTTTCAAGCAAGCCATGTTTGATTACCGAAGGCTATTTGTCAATGAAAGCAATGTAGGCCTCGCAGCTGTTCTGTATCAACACTGACCAAGCCTTGCGCAGCGAGATATCGAACATCTGATGCTTCTGGATGTTCTGTGAAACAACAATAACCAACAAGAACATCCAGAACACCACTTTTGAACACGAAAAATACAGTAATGATAACAATTTTGATTGTCATTTTTTTGATTGTCATTTTGAGCACAAAAAATGATGTCTGCCAAAACGTACTGCCAGAGCTTGCAAGGCCGACAAACTAATTAAGTCCCAGACGGCATGCTGACATACCAATGTGATTCCTTGGGAGCTGATCAGCCTCTGAATGGGTTCATCTGTGTACTCTTCTACCAACATGGGGGGTTCCACAAATGGGGGTACCCCAAAATGAATGGTTTAGAATGGAACATCCGAAAATAAAATGGATGATTTTGGGGTGCCCCCATTTCAGGAAACCTCCACATAGATATCAACGTGTCGATCAAACAAGTGCAGGGAAACTCAGATGGCTCCAGAGTTTCGAGACTACACAACTGGAGACTAAGCTGGAGGCGGTCGATGTGGTGCTCTGGTGGCAAACAGGCCGCGTTTTTTTCGAGGTCCTCTTGGTGGAGTAACTCGAGCAGACCAACCTGTCTGAAGTATCACGTCAAGGAATTGCTCAGTGGATGTAACCGACATCTTACAGGAACCATCAGGAAACATCAGGGTCCTACCGTTTTACCTGTCAGATATCTGCACATTTTAGGGGGTTCCTCTAAATGTCCCCTTCAACCAAGGGCATCGACACCATCGCGTCTGGTGGGCGCCTTCGTTCATGTGAAGATAGCTAATCACCTCAACAATCGATCAAGGACGTCAACTGACGACAGCTTCATGCTTCAGTTGGTGTATTGCATGTATGTAATCATATGTAACTGTAATCTAATCTAATTCAATTCGATCTATTTATAATCAGATCCTGTGTTTCACGTAATTTGTGATGTGATGTAATATGATGTGATGGAGTGTGATGTGTGTAGGTGTGTATGTTTACACGGTATTTAAGATAGTCATATTGTTATAGTATGTTATAGTAAGGGTTTCGAATTGTTTGGGTGTGTGTTTTCCTGTTCTGTCCGTTGTCCTTGCTATCTGCGGCTTTTTAGAGCTGGAAACTGCCATTTCATCGGTATTTGCAACATTTTGGAGTTCGAGCCTCTAGGGTTGCTTTAATTTAGGGTTGGTTTAGGATCTATCTAATATTAGGGTTGGTTTAGGGTTTTTTAAGATTTGCTCAAGCTCGGTATAAGATCTGTTTAGGGTTGGTTCAGGATCTATTTATGGTTGGTTAAGGGTTTATTTATATAAGATTTTCTTAGGCTCGGTATAAGATCTGTTTAGGGTTGGTTCAGGATCTATTTAGGGCTGGTTGAATGTTTATTTGGTTGGTTTCAGATTTATTTCGGGTTTGTTCAGGGTTCGCATAGGGTTGCTTCAGTTTTTCTTGGGGGGTGGTTTGGAGTTTATTTAGGGTTGGTTTAGGGTCTATTTAGCAGAAAAGCAGGGAAAAGCAGAGAAGCGGAGAAGCAAAAAGAACAGAACTGCTGAGAAGCAAAGAAGCAGGGAAAACAGAAAAGCAAAGAAGCAGGGAAACAGAAATCAGAATAAAGAGACGGAACGAAAAATAGCCCTCCATATAGTAATATCTGTGTATGTATATATATACATAGATATACATACATATTAGTGGGGCTTGATTTTTCTGTACATATGCCAGACACTTAAAAGAAGCCTTATAGCTACATATATTTTTTTGAGGACCATGATCCCAACTCATCAAGGGAAACCCCTCGCCACGATCCAAGGTACCCAAATGAATTCGAAGCCCTCAAGGTCTTGCAATGCCAAACGGATCTTCTCCTTGGGCCGGGAATCCGGGAATCTTCCCATTTTCCCAACGATCATTTCGATACATGTAGTTGTACGTATATCAGCTTCATATGTGTATGTTGTGTATGTACACATTTAATATGTGTGTATATACTGTATGTGTAATATATATATATATATGTGTATCCTGTATATGTGAATGATTGTATTTGTGCCTATCACGATCAAAAATACGATTGTCAAAATCCACCTATGACACGTCTCACAACTTTGCTTGCATTTCAGCATGGCGTCAATCCGATTGTTTGGCATTCTACCTGCAAGCACATGTAAGTGGGTGAGTCAGGGTACGCTGCATCTTTTGATTTCAAGGAAGCCCATCTTGCGCGGAAAGTCCTCTAGGAGGTACTCTGTACATTGGCGGAGCACAAGAAAGACCGTAAGAGCAACTGTTTTCTCCATTGTATTTTGCCCAAAATGATTCAGCGAACTATTGTTTTTTGCCCAACAGGTTTTTTTTTGTATGTATTTTTCCGAAACCTTTACTGTTTTCTCCATTGTGTTTTTTGACGCAAAGCCTATGCGAGAATTGTTTTTTGCCCAATCCTTTTTTTTTGTATGTATTTTGCCGAAACCTTTATGTTTTCTCCCTCCTATTTTGCCCCCGTTGTTTTTTTCTCGTTGTTTTTTGCCCAATCCTTTTTTTTGTCATGTATTTTGCCGGCCAATTCATGTTTTCTCCATTGTATTTTGCCCAAAAGCATTCTTTCTCTATTGTTTTTTGCCCAACAGGTTTTTTTTTGTATGTATTTTGCCGAAACCTTGGAAGTTTTGCATCAGCCATTTTGCCCCAATGTGGAAGGGAAGATAGGGCAGCAGCCAGGATATGTATTTTGCCCGACCTTTGGCGGACTCCCCCGTGGATGCACTATTGTTTTTTTTTTTTTGTATGTATTTTTTAAAATGCTCCACCATGTATTTTACCCTCCATTGCATTCTGCCCGGTTGTCAGCGTTTGATGTATTTTGCCGAAACCTTTGGCTCCTGCATTGTTTTTTGCCCAACAGGTTTTTTTTTGTATGTATTTTGCCGAAACCTTTATGTTTTCTCCATTGTGTTTTGCCCAAAATGCTTCTTTCTCTATGTTTTTTGCCCAACAGGTTTTTTTTTGTATGTATTTTGCCGAAATCTCCATTGTATTTTGCCCAAAATGCATTCTTTTCTATTGTTTTTTGCCCAACAGGTTTTTTTTGTATGTATTTTGCCGAAACCTTTACGCTTTTCTCCATTGTATTTTGCCCAAAATGGCCGTCCCAGGTTTTTTTTTGTATGTATTTTGCCCCTACGTTGTAACCTCTGTAAGGCAGCTTACAGTGAGCATTGGCTTCCTGAAATCGCGGATGATCCAGGATGAGTTTGCAAAGATGCACATCCCGCAGAAGTGCCGCATAGTGCAGAGCTGTGCAATTTCGGTGAATCGTCCTATGCTCCTGCTCTTCTTGGGTTAGCCAGTCTTCTGGCTGTTCCGACTCTGGGGGCCACATCTCATCCTTCTCATTTACAAGATCGCCATCATCATCTGTGGCGATGATGTATTCTAGCATCGGCAAGTCAGATCTCACAACAGCGCTGAATTGAAAATCATGTTCCAACATGTACCAATCCTTCATGTACCTTCCTCTGATGATGCTCAGCAACTCTGCTGGCTTTTTGCGGAGCACTTGAATCTCCAGTTCTCCATCACCAAAGACCCGGAGTTGGTGAGTATCCAATGCTACCTTATCTTCACAGATCAAATCCATAAAACACGCTGGCACTTTCGCATGTTCCGAAATCGTTATCTTCAACTCCTTTATCGTTTTGCTCGGACATATTGAAAGGTTGCAAATGACCGCACGGCTTAAAGCCCAGACTACTTCCACTTGAATGTTTACTCCAGTCCGCCGAAACATGGCATAGATCGGATTAACAATTCCTGTACTATGGATGCTGCCGTAGACCTTGAGCCGAAGGGCTACAACACGCAATCCATTTTGACAGTGCCAAGTTCAAGAGTTTCATCAGTTTTCTTGATTTCAACTAGATGGGGAGACCAAATATGGTACTTGGAACTTTGGAACCTCTGCAAAATTGCAGAAGTCTCTTCCTTGACTCAAACTTCAAAGACTCTTCGCCAGCGCCACCAGCCGCAACCCTTCCCTGTCCTCCCGGTGAAATTCCAAAGTGCAATCGGCCGCTTCGCCTCCCACAACCTGTCCGGGGCTGTTTCCTGCAAAACCCCAACAGCTGCAGGCGTCTCCCCGCTTCCCCCCGGCGGACTCCCTCGGTGACTGTTGGTTGCCGGGGGCATCCAAAACGCTCCTGCAGTCGATGTGGTGAAGAGTCAATGCAGGCTGTTCTCATAGATATTTGCATACAGAATTGCTTGGTGCTTTCAAACCATCCTAAAATCTCCGAAGGATTATCAGCTCATTTCAAATGCGGTTGAAAAGTGCTAATGTACCTGGAAACATGGAGTAGACATGTCAACTAGCAATTATAATGTATGGATTCAGCTGGTGGATTGTGATGGGTTCAAGTGGAGACATGTGTTTCGAGGGTGTCTCTGGTCGGTTGCTAAAGCTAAGCATCTCTGCTATGAGCATTCTCAAGCAACACCTGTTGTTGCCGCATTGTCTGAATGGATACCGAATATGTCTTGCATACGTGTGCATGCTGCGACACGGATGCAAATTGATACAAATATGATGATTAATATAATATATATATATACTACTATTATATATATATATATTGTTATATACATATATATATATTGTTATATATATATTGTTATATATATATATTCTTATTATAAATACTGGTGTTGAATGACTTTTGAACATCATCCGTCGGATATGTGAGACATGCTTGATTAGTCTCGCCCTTTGGACAAAAAAGTCACCTCTTAGATGGCCCTGGAGCCCTGGAGCCCTGGAGCCCTGGAGCCCTGGAGCCCTGGAGCCCTGGAGCCCTGGAGCCCTGGAGCCCTGGAGCCCTGGAGCCCAGCCTTGTACGGTGATCGTGCAATGGCAATGGTTTGTAGCTGGATCTCTTCCGGCGTGGGAAAAGCGTCCGTATGGACCTGGAGCCACTTTTTTGGATGGTGGAACTGGATGGAACTGAGGTATCTGGCTGATATAATGTATAAATGCGTATAGCATGAGTTATAATTGTACGTATGACGATACATCATAACTCCAACTGGGATGGTGAGTGGGTAGCTAGGGCCACCAACGTTTGGAATGTTGAAGCCTTATTGGAAGTGAATTGTCCAAAAGGAGCTATGCAAAATGTCGAGCAGTGCTTTTTGGCGCGACAACTCATTTCGGTAGTCCAAGCTCTTCTTGTTTGGAGCGGTGGATGGCCAGCTGTCGGGGTAAGTTTTCGTGGAAGGCTTCGTGGCCTTTACTCCAGTCATACGAAACGGCATATGCAAAGAGCTCACCTGAGGCATTGAACTTTCCAGTGGTCAGGGAGCTCGTGCTGACCTCAAATTTCTTTAGGAGTTTCCTTTGTGCCTTCTCCCAATAAATAAAACTACCATCGCTACCCACGGAGGCTAACGTGTTGATCATCTTGGGATGAAAATCCAAGCAGTTCACAGCACTGGCGCAGCTTGGAGTCTGATGGCACTTGAAGGTGAAAGTTTGGCTTTGGTCCTCAAAACTCTTGACGGAGCACCTGCCTTCAATGCCGCCTAGCGCAAAGCCTTTCTTGTCAGGGAAGCAGGAGATGGATCTCGTTTGCATCTTTAGGCCACTGAACATGGATTCTGTGGGCGCCAGTTCCGTCTTCAGACCTTCATCTAGTCTGAAGGTGAGCACTTGCCGGTCGGCAACCCCCACCACCATCAGTGGATACTTCACATCCATAGCAAAGACCCTTTCCGGCAGCTGCACCGTGACCACAGGTTTGGGCTGCTGAGGGCTCCAAAAGCACAAGGTCTTGTCCCAACTGCCAGACACCACGACATTCAACTCATCAACGGTTGAAACGTATTTCACTGGTTTGGTATGCTGTCCCAGCACCATGCTTTGCTGTGCCTGAAGGTCCCGCACTGTAACCTGGTGGTCGCAGCCGCCACTGATGATACGTGAGCCATCGCGGCTGAAGCCACAGGACAGCACAGGGGCGCTCAAGGAGTAGCTGGTTCTGGCTAGGACTTCAGAGCCACTGACCTCCCAAATGTAGACAGAATTGTCCCAGGAACCTGCAGCAATCACATCCTGCACAGGCGACCATGCGAGGCTACTGATGCTATTGCCAGGAGTCTCTTTTGCCAAAAAGTCGCCGCTACTGCTCAGGTACTTTGCAGTGACACCCTCAGCCATGTGTTCTGATTTGTCCCCATGGCACTGGTTTTGCGGGACAAGAAACGAAAGAGCCCATGCTTTGCGGAATCAAAAATCAATGAGATTCAATGAGTGTTGACACTACAGTGCAGGTGCACTAGAACATGTCTACAACCCAAAAAACCCACCACAGAAGCACGCCGAACCCGCGCCCGGATCTGCACCTGCGGAGGCCGTTGGGCTCTCTTTGGCAAGGCATTGCCTGCTGGATTTCTTGACCTAGATTCTTTGTGAAATCACCTTCTACCTGAAGCTAACCGCTGCTAACTGCTAGTTTTTGGCAGTTGCCATTCCCAACAAATCACAACTTTCATCTCATGTGAAAGTGGCAAACCTGGTGCTTGGCTGACCAGACCTGCAAGGCTCAAACGGGTGCTGACCAGGGCACGCGCACGGCCTGGAGTCAGGGTATCCATCCCAAACCCTGGCAGCATTCCGCATGAAGGTGATTAAATATGATTAAACATGATTAAACGTGATTGGACGTGATTGGACGTGATTAAACCATATGAAACCTGGAATGTTTGAAAGAAGTACTGGAAGTACCAGAAAGAAAATGATGGATCCTGCCAGTGCCCGCCAGTCGTGCCATCCTTTTTCAGCATCCGGCCAAGTCTGGGAAAAGCTAGGGCAGCTGTAGTAGCTGGGTCCACTGTCCCACACGGCCAAGACAGGGTTTGTCTTGCAAACAGTTTCGTAAAGAGTGAACATCTTTGTCATCTTTGTTGCAA